GTACACACAATACAAACGAAGATTCCCGGGTTCATTGTCAATCGACTTTAATATATCGATCTTATTGTATGGATATACTGGTCTCGAGATTTATCGAATATTAATTTGGTTTAGGGATATTTAAGTCACAATTCCTCAACTACGGTAACGTGTTTTTTCGAACACAGTTGACCCAATCCAAAGACCTCAAAAAACTTCTTGGTTTGCACATCCCCTTACCTTTCCAGGACATACCTAGCCAGGTCGATATAATCCCATACATATCCAAAAACACATTGGTCAACATATATCCCCCGTAGACATCTTGGACATTCGTATAGCCCAGTAACGTATAACACTCGGCAGCACATTTCCATATCCCATATCGTGGTCAGCAGCATACTGCCATAATTTGTTAAGGCATCTCTATACCACTCGATACACTCTTGAATAAGACATTCCAATAACTATCACAACATCTTAGTCAAGACATTCCTATAACCCCCCCCCCCAAATAAGAACACTCCCATAACCCACTAGGGTGTCTCACTCAGTACATTTCCATATCTCTCCAACATGACTTGGTAAGCACACTTCAATACCCCTCCAAAATCATCTCGGTGAGCAAATCCCCACACCACTTCAAGACATCTTGGTTAGAACGTTATCATGGCTTTATATGACATCTTGACCAGGACTCGGTTAATATATTGATATATTGCTCAACATTATTATATTATATTATTACATTGACATTCTCACAAATGCATACTGGTCAGTACATCTTCACAGCCCTCAAAACAATTTGGTTAGCCCATTCCTATAGCCTTCAAATAAATCTTAGTTAGCACTTTCACCTAGCCCTTCATGAATCTCGATCATGACATTGCCACAACTCCAAATACCCATTGGTAGCGCATTCCTATAATGCGTTAAGGTATCACACTCAGAACATTTCCACATCCCTCCAATACATATTGGTCAGCACATTTGCCGTTTAATTGAGTATGAGACAAATTGGCTACAATACAGCGACGTGTATCTGTAACATCAATTTGTTTGGCCAGAACCCCTTTGAATTGAACAGTCGTAATGCATTGTGGTCACTTGAGATATGGGCATGACATATAAACAACCATCGTGAATTTAGCGCGAAGTAGGTTGGGGATATGATGTCGTGAAAACGTTTGTAGTATCATAAACCAATGGTAGACATTATATCATTTTGGAACCCATTTATCAATAATTGCTGTGATAGAAACTCAAATTCGACATAGATAATATTTTATTTATCATCATGTTCTATGGAAACTGAAAAAAATGAAATTCTCGAGGAATATTTTGTCATTTTTTTCAAACTAAAATTTGCAGCACACAGCATAATGTTGTACTGTAACATTGTAATTAAAAATATTGCAACGCTTTTTTACCATTTTCCCCATTCTACATTTAAAGGAAATTCCTCAAGACCCATATCACAGAACATGTGTCACGTGACACACGACTGCAAGTGAACCTGTAGTAGTTATGGCAAACACTTTAACAGGCGGTAGTCGTCGCACCGCGTCCTGTTCGATATGGGACTCATAGCGACGTACACAACGCGTGTAAAATACATTGTTTATTTACATGAAATTCGAACACGCGCTGCGCGACGACCACCACGCTTTAAGTGACGCTGTAACAATTACTTGCATTTAATACAATACACCAATTTACACGGTGTGTTTCTGAAATAAAATTAACTACCCAGATTTAAATCGAAACCTAATATTAGCAACTAATAAGGTCTTCTATGAGTGGACTACTATTGAAGTGAGCAGTAAACAAAATGTGTTAAGATTATTGAGGTCAGGGTCTCGCCAATCCTAATTACAGATAAAGGCCATTCTAAATGATCACTGCTTGGAAACGTAATAACCATTATTGTTCGGTTATTGTGAAAATGCGTTGTAGTGTAACAAACAGGGTAATTATATGATAATTACCAGGATACCAATACGACCAGAAACGGGTGATAATGGAAAAATAAATAGGTAATTTATATGTAAATATCAGTTTTTGGTATATTGAAAGAATTTAAATACTACTCGGCTGATATCACATTTGCCTAGTGCTGATAATATAAAACAAAATGTAGAAATGTGAAGACTAACGTTTTACACTGGATTGCACTTTACGTATTTGTATCAATCATACAACCAACCAATCAATCAAACAATCAATCTATCAATCAATCTATCAACTTAAATCCATTAACTAGTCACTCATTCACTCACTCACTCACTCACTCACTCACTCACTCACTCACTCATTCACTCACTCACTCACTCACTCACTCACTCACTCACTCACTCACTCACCCACACTCACTCACTCACTCACTCACCTCACTCGCACACCGAATAATTCACCAATTAACTTACTCAATCAATTAAATATGCTATATGTGTGTAAAGAAATTCCCATCATCGCACGTTCTAAGATGATGATTGACAATGTTTGAATGGAAGGCATTTTCATGTTCAACCAACCTAGCTAATCCACTGCCAATATGGCCGAGATGAGATATTTCAAGCGTCGTATCTAGGCGTTAGTGGAGTGACGTATAATGAGTGAAACGGTGCATAGAAATGAGTCTAAGTCTAGCATACTCCATTTATGACAGTTTTACCGGGGTTAAAAAAAGCACAACATTTCAGAAAGCGATATTGAATTCACAAACCATCAAATTACTTCAGATGGAAGAAACGAGAAACAATTACGTAAACCATATTGAAATTGCGCGACAGAGTTCATGAATATTCTCGTAGAATAAACACTAAAACATGAAAAAGGTTGGTACAGTCATACAATTCAGTAGCTCCAACGAAAACGAAAGTACACACGACAGCATATGCTAAAACATAGAGGGCAGCATGCAACAACAATTTGTCTTAATTTTTATAAACATAAAGAATATATACGTATATAAACAATTTCTCCGACAGACAACAGAAATAATGCTAAAAGGAGGTTATGTAATGAAAATGAAAATTTCGAAGGAAAGTCAATTCACTGATTCACCTTGATATTGCAAGATAAAATGTTACAGCAAAGTGTATTCACCTTTAGTAAGAGAGTGATATTTGAACGCTTCATGCGAACGAATCATATAAACGTTCAGTTGTTTTTCGATCTAAAACGAGCAATATTTCAATCAAAGAATATTTCGGTATTTCTACACGTTTTATTAATGGCATACCGTCACAGCGTACATCATAATAGAGAGCGCTATATGAAGTAAAAAGAATAGGGCGTAGTACTCCACATGGTAGATCACGTGATCAAACATTATCAGTCTTAGATGTCACGAAATAACGGAGATATATTGTGCTACGTTTCCAGCTTGTTACGATGACACATCAACAGGAAAGCAACCAACCAACTATTGATTTCGAACGCAAATTATTGAAACGTTCACAAAAATATTACCACTGAAAAGTGATAAAAAACAAAATTATGAAAAGCAACATCGAAATATGACGTCATCCAAAGTGAAATACTAGAAAACACTCATCATCAGAATTACGGTTGAAATGTAATATACTATGAGCTGATTGGGATAAAAACTGTGATTATCCTTCCCAGAATTCCTTGCGCTTAGAACACCGAAAGTATATTCGTAGAAATAGAGATGACTCCAATGGGCACCATATATATGAGAATATGTTTAGATTAAAAACTTTTCATTAGATTATGAAATAGCTTTTGTAATAGTTTATGAAAACAAAATCGGGATGTTCTAATAGTTAACTAGATGGCAGAAGGAATGTGTCATAACTGCCACAGAGGGCGCCATACCATGATCTACGCATATAGATAAACAAAGCGGACACATTTAAACTCTTAAGTTCTAAACATCGAATTGTTATATTGCAATTATTCCATAGAGATGGGTTGCCAGCATTGTAAACTGTTAATATATGTACACAAGGGAATAAAGACTTCATTCTCAAGGTTACAGGTTGTTTATTATTTATTAAATATTAAGATTGAATTATATTATTCTCTTTAGAAATATTTTCTACATCAATACATGTTAAAAAAAAAATTATCGGAATATTTATATGGGTTTTAGCGATTAAAAACATCTCATGTTTGACAGTACAAGTTGTAACAATATATTGTTGTGAAAAATATCTCAGATATGTTTTTCTATTGTTAAAATTCAAGTGACATGCAATCCTTGTCACAAGCTACAAAATGTGAAACTGGGCAAACATGGAGCAACTGACTTGCCTTCGATATCCGGCATTGTTATGTATAAAGAAATTTCACATGACAATGTAGCAAAAATTTCAATTTTTAGGTGAAATATAAATTACACCAAAACTGAATAAATGGATCAGTATAATCTCAATGCTATCTGTAGATTGTTTTATAGAACACGCTGGTCAATGCACATTAATGATACGATTAAACAGCAATTGTTGTAAATTCATAACAAATCATCAAAAAGTTACAAGAAATAACACAATTGGGAGTGACAATACACAACTGTCTTTATTTGATCTGTTTCACTGGGTATAGTATGTTATGATTATGTCAGTTCTATTTTTAATAACATCTGAAAATTATGACAGTAAAAAGTAGATACATATCAAGACTTCAAAAGTTGGAAATTGAATTGATAGGCCCTTCAATCCCTGGGATTGCACCATGGAATCATGGGACACAACTTATTCTTTTACTTAAACTATTATTGTTTTTTCATTTACCATTGAAATATTAATCAAGTTGAATGTTACATAAGACTTATAATAATAACTTTGAATGCCATATTCTTCCAACCCAAATTTTGCACATTTTATATAATTTCATTTTTTTTCTAAATTTTTTGTTAATTTTGGACTGAAAGAATTAAAAACAATTATTGGTTACAGGTTTTTGAACAAAAACAAATTTGAAAATATTATGCATGACAAAAATTGACTTTGGTATTCAAAGAGTCAAGCACATGGTTGAATGTCATCACCAGACTATAGTTTAGCGGTTGGTGTTCTTCTGGTCTTCACACCTAATAGTTGAGATACAAGTGTAGTGGTATCCTGAGCACAGCCCCAATGAAATGTAACACCACTTCCACCATGCCCGTAGTTATGAACAACCTGCAAGACACAATACACAAGTTAATTCATATTTAAGCTACGCTATATGTCGTCTACAATTCAGGTTTTTTTCCTAAACCAGCCAGCAACAATGGTACCCGGATGTTTCTTTGTATTACAAAATATTACATACAATAAAACCGCAGCGATTGGTGCAATCACATGATTACAAGGCGTGTGTCTCGAGGGTTAAATCATCGCAGAGTTGAAAGTACAAAACTTGGTTATTATACAATGTGTTCATGAAATTCATGAATTACATGTTTATAATATGAGGTTATTACGAAGATACCGAAAAGTATACATGAAGACAGTACAGCAGGAGTATCGACCGATACGCAGCAGAGGTCGATGCGACTATGTACTGTCGGAGTGCATATTCTGCAGTATCCTCATAATAACTATAATATTATACATCTTTTCCTCCCAGGAATACATCATGGGAATCCAAAACGTTTAGAGCAGATTTAGCGAACTTCTTTGTGTGGAGTCCGGTCAAACCCTGGAGGCAGCCATGTTTGTTTTTTATTATTAGAGGACGCTCACGTGCGTAATCATTTCATATTTTGAATTCGTATTTCCTAATATGGTAGGATGAAAATACCCTTTGCAATACCGCAAAATTACGGCACGCTGTAATTTACGGCATTACAGTGACTGTTGTATAATAATATTGTTTATAATTCAAAATAATTCTGCATGTGATGTCACTATACGGTACCTTAATTTCTCTACCATTAATATTCATGATTTCTTTCTCTAGTCGGACACTAGTTCTCGAAGGTCTCAAACCCACCCAGTCATAGTCTAATTTTGCATGCTGTGAATATAAAGCAACAAATGTATGGGTTAATTTTAGCACAAAAAATTACCATTATTTGTTTGCAAAGTATATGAAAATGAATATTACATAAGATAAACTATATTACAGATAAATAGAAATCATACATGTCTATTTAAGCAAATAATGTAATAAAACAATGACTACAATGACATTGAAAGTACTGTAAAATATTTTATTTTCGCTTGGAATAAATTTTCGCTGATTAATGATTGAGAAAAAATAAAATCCAGCGAATGTATTTTTTTCCCCATATTTTACATTAAACTCGTCAAAATTCAGTGAAAATAAATTCCATTCAAAACACCCGAAAAGTCTTTTCAGCAAAAATTTATTCTTTTTCAGCAAAAATAAATTTTTATTTTAGTTTCGAAATCAAAGTAAATTTGCAAATATATAACTGAAAATTAAGATGGTCTTTATACAGGATGGTAATACATTATGCCTTGTGATGGCCTAAAAGTGGTCACTATAAGCAGGTCAGGCATTAATAAAGCTAGCATTAACAAAATTGAAATACACATAATTCTTGGATCAAAGGACAAGTCTTTTTTGTAAATTATGAAGCATATACATAAAATTCACTAATTCTTCTTGTCTTTACAAGACAAATAATGAAATTTGTTTTCAGTACTATATTTGTTCTATTTAAAGCACATCTGCCTTGTATGATAAATCCTTACATTAGATGATGCATGTACATCTGTCATTTACGCTTATACTTAGGGACAACATCAAAAGTTCAATGTCGGATAAAAAACTTAATTCCTTTAGTTTTTTCCCAAACCCCCCACTGAAACTTAATTGATAAATATTGACCATGGCGTCAGACTACATTCACCATTAAATACAAATTGATAATTGGACAGTAGTATTGCATAGCAGTCCGTTGTCGGGTGGGTGTAAAAAGACTTTACACATGCACCAATAACAAAGAAAAACAAGCTTTATTTGACACGTATATTTACACTCGGACCAAACCATTTCCTCGTCTTGGATGTTTGTTTTTTCATCTTCTGTTATTTTTGTCCATGATTGGATAGAAAAAATCAAACTACTCTAAGATTTTTTTGACTTCATTAAAAATAAAATCGTTTTTGTAGGATGGAAACTTTCGGAGTTCAAACACCCCCCACTCCCAAACTAAAGCAAATAAGTTTTTTATCCGACATCGATCTTTTGACGCCGTCCCTTATCACTCCTTCACTGTGTGAAATATGCTTGTTTTCAGTTGCATTTATTAACAATAATTACTACCTTTAAACTTGGGTACATTTTACAACATCCTTCCCATATCTTCTTCTTGTCATTCTCATCAATCTTGAGATTCCAGTTACCGACTTGTGTAGTTCCACCAAGAAGTACATTATTGGCACTGAGAACAAACACAACATGATTAGTACAGTTGCATTTACCTTGCATGTATCTGTATCTAATGTGTTACTGCAACCAATGTCACTATAGGTATATGTATATATGATAAGGAAGACATTCCATGAACATGAACATGAAGTTAGCGCATGTGTTTCTTTTAGGGCAAATACAGCATTTAAAAATATAACTGCAAGCAATGATCTGAGGGGTTCCATGTAGTGCTGGTTTAACAATTATAAATATTTAATGAAATAATGACCATATTAGATGATTTGATATTTTGGTCATATATCTTGTCAGACAAGATTATAGCACCAGTTCCGGTCACTGATAGCATAGTGGTTTTCGCGTCAGACTCATGATTGGTAGACCCAAGTTCAAATCCTACCTTAGGCTGAACATCAAAAGGGTCGACCCCTACCCTGGGTGAGTGTGTCACAGACTCAATGGGAATGCCAATTCCACTGGCCGAGATTCATTCACTAACGAATGCGACTTTGGGGGAACCTTGGTTAAGGTCCGCAGGTGCTTGTGTTTGACCGAGCCTGGTTGACGCCAGGATAGCGCATTAAATTGCCACTTGATAGGGAGATGGCCGCACAGCCCTGTCATGTAGTCCCAAACAGGAAATGACTTCTGTGGCAAAATGCACTATGTGTCAGCACTTGAAATTTGCAAGTACAAAAAAAAAAAAAGTCAGGAGAGACAACAGTGACATTCAAAGTCCGGAACTGTCGCCTGGCACAAAAAAATATTTAAAAGATTATAGCACCAGATACATGCCCCTATCAGCAACAGTACTTATATCACATTGATTTCAACTTCAAACTTCAGGTTAGCGCATTATCCCAGGGCATCTATTATTAATATCCATAGATTTTTGACCAAAAACTAATCAGGTCTGTGAATCGTCATAAAGCATCTATGTACCAAGTTGAAATGTTAAAATTGGTACTTGAAACATCAGCAGAATAGCTGAAAATTCACTAATTATACAAATTAGGTAATTATTATGCACAAAAATTAATCCAATACTTATCAGGTCTGTGTATTGTGCTATGACATCTATATATACCAAGTTTCAATGTAATGTGATGATTAGTACTTGAGTTATCGAAGAAAATTTACTAATCATTATGCAAATTAGGTAATTATTATGCACAGATTTCCCCCCAAAACAAATCAGGTCTATGAATAGTCATAGAGCATATATGTACCAAGTTTCATTGAAATGTAATTTAATGTAATGTACTTGAAATACATGTATCAGCAGAAAAGCCCAAAAATTGACTAATTATGCAAATCATGTAATTAATATGCATGGTTATTAACCCAAAACTTGTCTGTGCATATGTCCTATGACATCCATGTACCAAGTTTCATTGTAATGTGGTGATTAGTACTTGAGATATCAGTAGAAAAGTCAAAAATTGACAAATCATTATGCAAATTAGGTAATCAATATACATGGGATTTTTACCCAAAACTAACCAGGCCGGCTCATTGTCTTGAACATCTATGTACCAAGTTTCATTGCAAATATGGTTCTTGAGATATCAGACAGACACACGGACACACAGAAACATACACACACAACTGTAAAAACTCCCATTGTCTATTTTGCACATGGGAGTCAAAAATGACTGACAGTTTGTCATTTTGTATTCATTCTGAAAAACAAAATGACATCATCAAGGTGCCGTAATGTTAAATGTACATATATACCAAATTTAAACAAAGTTCATGCCGAGATCCTGATGAGAAATTTTGATGAATTTTCAATAATAAAAGGCCATCAATACATGTTCATTTGTGCGACATAATGTATATTAAATTTCAAATATAATCTGTCAAGGCATGTCAAGATTATGACTACAGCATTGGTTAAAACAAAATGGCCACTAATCGGCCAAGTTGAATATGATAAGTCAGGGCATGCCAGAGATATTGTTCATGAAGAGTATTCAGTAAAACAAAATGGATGCCAGTCATTCATCAAGGTCCCATAATGTCTTATATATGTGTATTAAGCTTGAATGAAATGTTTCCATACATGATCAAAATTCACAGGTTATGGAATTGTAGAAATGCTTGATTTTGATGAATTATTAGCCCCCAAATGGCCACAATTCGGCCATCTTGAATCAGTTTGTGAAACGAATGGACGTGCATATGTATCGCAAGAAGCACGATGTATGTGTGAAGTTTGAACGTAATCGACATGTCCAAGATACAGGTGGAAATGCATAGTGGTTAATCAATATATCCCAGTTCTCAAACTGTGTCCAAATGGTTACTAAAAAACAAAGTACGATATCTATTGTGGTGGTAATTCACAAGGGCTTTGGTGTTAGGAAATAATGTACAACAAATTTGCTAATAACATTTCATATTATAAGGTTATCTTAATAAGTTCACAAAGTAGGTTGTACAGTGATCGTATCTTTAGATACATAGCAGCTAGGTCAATCTCACACTGTCTGGCTGGGTAATAATTATTAGTGTGTACTATAGTAATAATTCAGTAAATAATAGCAGCTTTAAATGGTTACATTAATGTCTCTGTGATCAATTGATTTCATTGTCATTATTCCATTACTATTACGTGCTGTGAATTTGCTGCACTGATCCAATGTGATTAAATAATTTAAAGATTTTGAATGTAACAGAATTAATCTGGAATGTGCTCAGGTTATGAAATTATAAGATTTTTGGGAAGATTTTTCTAGAAAATTAATTTAATAATTAGTGAATCTGTGAAATAATTGATTGGTGCTCATTTCAGATTGCTTTTGACAGTGATAAAAAAAAAGCATACCGTATGTTATTCATGTGTTCTGTATTTTTGAATGTGACAATATATATTTCTAAGTATCTACTGCAGAATTAAATTCAATCCACGATCACGCAATGGAATGCTCATCTCATACCCTCAGATAATTAATTATTTGAATTTAAAAAGTAAAAATCATGAAACAATTTGGACTGATTCTGAAATCAAACATACTTAGAATTTAAGGACAACACAATTCACAAATTGAACTCACCAAGGTATCACATATGATGAATGTCCTGCATCAGCTGTGATTGCAAAGTGTTTGATCCAATGTGCATGCACCTAGAGAGTAAATAAAGCACTGATGTATGGCTTTGTTGGAATATAAAGCTACTGTATCTGTTCTATTACTTTATGATGCACTTCGGTAAACAGCTGTGTGTTAATGGTCAAAATAAGTCAAAATAAGTAATATCGACAATAAAGGCGTTTTTTGGTTTACTATATTATGTATGCACTTTTATATTGGAGATGTATTTTTAATAATAGGGCAAGTACGGTTAGCAGTCAGCACAAATTTGTTTTTAAATTGCAGAACACATCAAGAAACCCATTTTTTAATGGTTTAGTGGCGACCTTTTTTCAGTATGTTTCGCCTTACCTGCATATATTAAAATATTGACAGCAGATTATGTTGACGTAATATTTACGAGTTTACAATTATTTAGATAAGTCATGTTAATTGTCTGAATAATGTTATAACGATAACAGGTTAATTATCAATTCAGAATATGCAAATGACGTATTCCTTCAAAAAGAAACCAAGCAGATACAATGAGTCATAACATTTTCAGTTGTATCGTGTCATAACTATTACACTGTCAGTGTCAACATTTATTATTTCTCACAACAGTTTAGATTTTATTACCCCCCCCCAAAAAAAAAAACAAACATGACAATTAAACACATCATGATGAATATGGGTCCCATGCAACAAATACATAATGCGTGTAAAATGTGTTACATTTTTGTTCACATGAAATTCTATGTGTTTCAGCGATGCACGAGTGCACCATGCTTTAAATTTAGCATATTGATGAAACATTACATTACCACTATCAGACAGAGCAAGAAATTGTATGTCACTATCGGACAGAGCAAGAAATTGTATGTCACTATCGGACAGAGCAAGAAATTGTATGTCACTATCGGACAGAGCAAGAAATTGTATGTCACTATCGGACAGAGCAAGAAATTGTATGTCACTATCGGACACAGCAAGAAATTGTATGTCACTATCGGACACAGCAAGAAATTGTATGTCACTATCAGACAGAGCAAGAAATTGTATGTCACTATCAGACAGAGCAAGAAATTGTATGTCACTATCGGACAGAGCAAGAAATTGTATGTCACTCTCGGACACAGCACGTTGTAGGAGAAGATTAATATTTACTGGCAGCAAAATAAGTTTAATTTATGATTGTAATTATCAAGTTGATATTAGGTATGGTTGAGATTATTTAATTAGTTAACTGTACTTGAATTAGTTAGGAGATACATAGAAAATATCCCCATTGATGAACTACAATCTCCAAAGAGTGGTGAACTGTACTTGAGTTAAAGATGTGAAACATAGAAGATCTGCAATGATATATATCACTAGTTGTAATAACAAATTACAATAATTAGTCTGTATCATGTATCACACTTGTAGATCAATTACACATTGGCAGCTGACTAATGTAAACAAATGTTGTTGTAACACATAACCACTAAACTTTCAAAGAACGGTCTGGATAACATAACATCACTAAATTGACATATTTCAATTAAGACACAGAACAGCACAAGTATCTCAGAATTGACGTTGATAAAAGTCAACTGAAATAAGCAGTCACTGTATACAATCACAAAAACAAATATTTATATCTCGTTAACAAAATACAGGACTGATTGGAACCCTAAGCCCTAAATGTTATAGAAGAGAACCTGACTGAAAATTGTAAATACAAGTACTTGCCTGCATACATGAAAACATGCATGGATTATAAATCTTCTGTAAGCTAGCATTCTCCAAGTAAACCAATGCCCTCTGATACACTTAGACATTATCAGAAGAGAACAGATTTTTTCTATAACTCATGGCCTGACCCGCATGATAAAAACAAAAGTATACAGCATGGACACTGATAAAACATAGAGGGCAGCATGCAACCAAATTGCACATGATTTTAAAAAGCTATTTTAGAAAATACCACTTCTGCTAATATAAACTGAAAGTTCTTTATGTGTATCTGTCGTTGCATTGCAGAAGCCATTGACTGTCATCCATTCCTACATTCTGGAATTGTGAGTTATCACCAATGCACACTTCACTAGGCAATCCCCTATTTTAGTGAATTTATTTATTGTATTTTTCTGTGCTTTGTTTCTTGTAATTATTTTGAGATGTTTTCAATTCAGGAGCTTTAACTCAATCTGTTGGTGTATGTGTATTTCATTTCCAGTACTATTGTCTTGTCTACCCCATTCTAGCGGTGAAAGAACCCCCTGTCCAGTCTAAGTTCTGTGGATGCCCTTCTCAATAACAATAAGCAGGGATTAAACTGTGACAGTATCACCCATAATATACAAGAACTTTGCCCCATTATCTAACAAACTGATCTGAGGTTTTATTGACTTCTTTATGTTGCGGGCAGTCAATCATCCTCATATTTATCACACTTTTCACAGAACTATTCATCATTATTTGTTTTTGGTTTCATATGCCGGCCTTTCTCTATTATGATATTGTGATAACTAATTCTGAGTTTGCATCTGTTTTCCCATAAATAGTCAAATTGTAATCTCTGATTATGTCAAAGAGGGTCGGCAAGGGGTATTTTCGTAAGCTGTAATCAATTGTTTTTATTTTGTAATAATGTAATACAAATAAATAAAAAATGTAAGGTGTAAAATGTAATCCGCTATTTTATTCATCCATGATTTGTACAAGGATTTTATTATTTGTAAGTGTATAAAGCATTTTCCAAATTAAATGTTGTAATTTTTATTTTTAAACACAAATCATCAAGAATATTATAAGAATATAAAATGTAACTAGGATTTTGCTTAATCTTGTAAAGTGTTTTCACTGTAAATGGAACTTTCATTTTATTTCCTATAAAAACATGAAATGCCATTTTTATTTCCTATAGCCTGTACTAGCTACCCCCTTGCCCCCCCCCCCTCCCTCGTCAAAGGCTTTATAGTGTTTTTATTTTTCATTTGCAAATTGGAACACTGTTCCTTGAATACAGTTATTACTAGTAATTTATAACCATACATTGCTAATTATAATTTCGCTGATATCTCAAACAGGGAATTCAATATACGTTAAAGAGAGGCATTGGTAACATTTCATTTTTACTTGATTTATGAGAATTGTGAGACTGGTAGATTAGGGAAACAAATCCTGTGTGCTGCCATTAAGTTGGGAGAAATAAAATAGAAGTTTAAGTTTGATTATGTGACTTTAACACCATGATGCACCTTGATTGATGTCTGAAATTATAAAGATTGCTTCTGAACTGAAAAACAAAATTTACAAATTCAGCTCCGGAAAGCAAAAGTGCTGGATTTTGAAGAATAATGTTGAATGTACATGTATGTCTAATTTTGAACTAAATTTACACAACTGAGATTAAGTTCTAGAATGGCGGAAAAAGCATGTTTTTGATAAATTTTTATTTGATTATGAATTTAAACTAACTAACATAGACATGTATGATATACAATGTACGTGCAAAATATAAATAAAAATGGTCCATAAGTCTCAGAATTATATCAGTATGGCTAAGAGGCAAGATCGCCACCAGTCAGAATTCTTTGAGCCGATTGGGTACGAAGTGTCATGGACATGTATCCTAACATGTAAAATGTACATGTATGTATTCAATTTGAATGAAAAACTGACAAAGCTTGTTCCAGTAACCACATTTTCAAAAAAACAAGATGGCCACCAGTCAGCCATCTTTGATCCTATCGTAAAAAGAATTTGAATTGTGAACATAACATGAATCTTAACATGAATAATGTATGTACCAAACTGACAGAGCATGCCAAAAATGTACAGTTTCAAAAAAAAAAGATGGCTGCCAGTCAGCCATTTTGAATTGAATAGCGTAACCACTGCATGTGCATATGTGCCACATAAAGTGCCACATGCAAAGAATTTGACTCCGAGGAACCTGAAATATGATGAACATATGGATGCACAGATGGAGACACAATTATAGCTGATATAAGTATCATATACAATTTAAGTTTAATTGTTATTTTCTTACCATGGAATAATATAACTGGAACCCAAATCAACAAATGTCTTTATCCAAGGGGCATGTACCTAAATGTTAATGCAAAGAATATGAGAACACCTAGAACATTGAGCCCGGCACCAAAATGTTAATGTAAAGAATATGAGAACACCTACAGGGAACATTGAGCCCGGCATCTAAAAGTTAATGCAAATAATATGAGAACACCTAGAACATTGAGCCCGGCACCTAAATGTTAATGCAAATAATATGAGAACACCTAGAACATTGAGCCATGCACCTAAATGTTAATGCAAAGAATATGAGAACACCTAGAACATTAAGCCCGGCACCTAAATGTTAATGCAAATTATATGAGAACACCTAGAACATTAAGCCCGGCACCTAAATGTTAATGCAAAGAATATGAGAACACCTACAGGGAACATTGAGCCCGGCACCTAAATATTAATGTAAAGAATATGAGAACACCTACAGAGAACATTAAGCCCAGCACCTAAATGTTAATGCAAAGAATATGAGAACCCTACAGGGAACATTGAGCCGCACCTAAATGTTAAATGTAAAGAATATGAGAACCTACAGAGAACATTAAGCCCAGCACCTAAATGTTAATGCAAAGAATATGAGAACGCCTACAGAGAACATTAAGCCCAGCACCTAAATGTTAATGTAAAGAATATGAGAACACCTACAGGGAACATTAAGCCCAGCACCTAAATGTTAATGCAAAGAATATGAGAACGCCTACAGGGAACATTAAGCCCAGCACCTAAATGTTAATGCAAAGAATATGAGAACGCCTACAGGGAACATTAAGCCCAGCACCAAAATGTTAATGCAAAGAATATGAGAACGCCTACAGGGAACATTAAGCCCAGCACCTAAATGTTAATGCAAAGAATATGAGAACGCCTACAGAGAACATTAAGCCCAGCACCTAAATGTTAATGCAAAGAATATGAGAACGCCTACAGGGAACATTAAGCCCAGCACCTAAATGTTAATGCAAAGAATATGAGAACACCTACAGGGAACATTAAGCCCAGCACCTAAATGTTAATGCAGAAATTCAGAATCGAAAATTTAATATTTATTTAATTTTAAAGAATGAAGTGTCTTGGCAATAGGTTTAGGGTTTTTAGGTTTATTGTCTTCAATTTACTTGGCTGTCACATACCATATTTAGAGAATCATCTCCAATAGAAGTGCATGAAAACCCCCAAAAAGCATTTGTTGTGTACAAAATCATTAAAATATTACTTATTTTGACCACCATAGTTTACATTACATGTCTGTAAAACACAAAAGCACATGCACTACAGCTAGAGCAAATAGAGCAGTGAGGAAGATGCAGTCACATTGAATAGAGGATGTTCCATTCACTGAAAGATATCTTGAGTAATGAGTACAAGTCACAGACTAAACATGTCACAAAACTTAGATAAATTTCTATATTTCAATGTCCAAATGCTGACATCTTTCTGAGAATAG